CATAAAAACACTTATCACAATCACAATTATTCACTTACGCAGATGGCATTCAGTAGAGGAGTCAATAAAGACAGCTGAATCATGTAGTCGAGTGAACTTTCTGCCAAAGGTGACAGTATTTTTTTTTAATTGTCAATAAGCAATAAGTGCTTCTAAAATATCTCGCAGTAGGATGAGGGACAACAGCTCACAAGTCACAAGCAACAAAGCATATGAAATATTCAACGAACAGCAAAGTAAAAATGCAAAAATGAATAATATGATGATAAAAAGTAGATGTAACTATTAATATTTGTTGGTGCCAAAATCCATATAGGTTAGAAGACGAGGGTTTTGGTGCTTAGCACAAAAACACCCTCACCACCCAAGATGTTTTTTTAAGACAAAACAAACAGTGCAATTTTTAGGGTACAATATCTCTAGACGCACTTATTATTTGTATAGATCTGCTAGAGGAGGACCTAGCCCACTCACAAGCCCCTCACCATCTAACCTAGAAGAGGGCCTAGACCACTCCCAATAGAGGAGGGCTTAGGCCACTCCCAAGCCCCTCACCATCTAACCTATACCTTAGAGATAACCCACCAATGATCTCATGTGTATGAATAATAGAAGAAACCCTTTTGCTCATACAAAATTTCTATGAAAATATATAACCATTCTGAGTATAATTAAAGAAGAAGAAGAATATGTTGATTAATACTAATACTGGAAAAGGAAAGGACTTCTTATCAGTTTGCAGATGGACAGACCAATCTGCATATGCAAAGAATCTAATAATCACTAAGACCAAGAGCATATTAAATTTGACTTTACGAAAACCATGTGATGGAAAGCAAAAAGATGGAGATAAACCAAAACCATGTGAGCCACCTACTGAAGTTATTGTTATTAAACTACCACAACCTCCGCCACCCAAGATACCGGTACTAGGCTGCAGTGGCGGATCTAGGATTTTTGTTGGGGGGACCTCCGCGGCTCCGTCATTATTTGCCAAATAACTAGTGAAAACATTAAAAAATCAGTAAACTTTAATTAAAAAAATAATACAATATTAAGAACCTGAAAAAAAATAATATACAATAACACAATATTTTCTTATTTAAATAAATCTATGAGAAGCAAAATTTTGAGTAAAAGTATTGAGTAAACCTTGAACAAAACCGTCTTTTAATATTTTTATTTTTGGCTTTCAAATATTACAATATAAATTTTCATAGCATTGATCAAACCTAGCCTAATTAAGCTAAAGCCAACCAAAACTTAAATCAAGTCAATATTACATTGACTTTTAATAGGAATTAATAAAAGAGGGGAATTCTTTTTAGTATAAACATAGATAGTAATTCAAATTTCTTTAATAATTTTGAACAATTGAACGGTGACGTTTAAAATGTAGAAAAGTGGTGGATAAAGGGTGGAGAATAACGTCCTTTAAAATATAGTTAAAGTTTTAATTTGAGAAAGTAAATTCATTCTTAGACAGAAAATACAAAATAAACTGACAAGATTAATATATTTTTTCTCTCAAATTAGAATAAAAAACCTCAAAAAGAAAAAAAAAATGATTCAATCCTTAAATAAACTAAATTGAAATGAACAATACACATACCTAAAATCGATAAAACAGAAAACGGAGCTAATTATGACACCTTGAGTAGTGAAAATTTAACAATTTTAGTCTTCAAAAATTTTAAGAGTGAATAACATAAGAAAGAGAAAGAGAGAGTAAAGAATTTGGGGATAAAATCATAAAAAAACAGGTAAAGCTGTGAAGAAAAACACTGAAGAGAGTTTTAAACTTTTAATATGATGTGGGTGTTAGAATTTGAGGTGGACCTGACTCCTCACCCAATAAGGCCTTGTTAAATGGGAGGATTACTCTCTCTTATAACCCAATAGGCTTGAACGTGCCTAGTCGATGTGGGACTCCAACATTCTCCCTCACGATCAAGCCCATATGTTGGGTCCGCTGTTATTGGAGGTAGTTGTTGGCTCTAATTTCTCACCCGCTGGTCAAGCGCTTAGCGTGGAGTCCCAAATTAACTAAGCACGCTCAAGCCTATTGGGTTATAAGAGAGAGTAATCCGCCATTTAACAAGGCATTATTGGGTGAGGAGTCAGGCCCACCTCAAATTCTAACATGGTATCAGAGCACAGGTTTAGGTAGAACGACTCATAATAAAGAGTAGAATAAAGAAGGCTGAAAGGAGAAACTTTTATTAACTTTCTCTCATAATTGAGTTTAGAAATAAAATGAAGGAGATGAGCTCAATTTATAGCCTTTTTCTCACCAACCCACCTCTTATAAATACTAATTATCTAATAATAAATCATAATTCGTCTGTCTTCGAGTTGACTTGCATAGGCCATGTGTCAAATCGGTGAAAGTCCATCACTTACAACACTAAGAAACTAACATTCAACCAAGTTTAAATTATCTTATAGGCAATATTTAATTTTCTTTTTTTAACTGAAAGAAGAAAAAAGATTGCTTGAACTCATTTCTCCTCTATATCGATCTCTCATAAATGCATATTATATTATTCCATAGATCACATGGACAAATTTAATTTGTCATCAATATGATAATTACTTGGGAAGAACGACTTACACCCACCTAAAGTTTGTCAAAAAAACAATTTGATACCCCAAAGGTTTGGAAATGACAAACAACTACTTTCTGTCTAGATCTGTTAGTGAATTTCATCTATAGTAATAGAAAAGTCTAAAACGCTCTTATTATTTTCTTCTTTCTCCTACTCTTTTCTTCTTCCCTTTTCTTCGACACATCTCCTCCAAGATTTCAGCTTTTCCCAAATTATCAAGGAAGAAAGTATAAATATTTGGCTGCATATAAATGTGATAACTCACCTTTAAGCTTTAAGTGTTTAAGCTTCAGACCTCTTTCATATGAAATTTCGTTGGCGTCTTCTGACGTACTTGCATCTCAAAAATAAGATTAGATTATTTTTAGAATGTACTGCAGATGAAGTACATGGCATGTTATTAAATTGGCATCTTGGGTGGTTGGGGTGTTTTGGGTGGTATTCATGTAAATAGTTTTCATAATAAGGGCATTATTGTCCAAAAATTTAATTACTTATAGGTAAAATGGTAACATGTATTTTGGGGCATTTCTGTCCAAAAAATTAATTTGTGAGGTTACAGAAGTCATTTCGCACTGTTGGGCTAATTGTTATATAGTAGACATATAAGGGCATTTGTGATCAAAATGTTTATTAATTAAGGGTAAAACGGGAATAAAATTTGGATTACCCCAATAATATTTTAATAACACCCCTGAATCAGTAATTTGATTACCCCTTATATCATCTACAGTAATTACTAATGATATTAGAAAATTAATGAAATCTTTTATTACTTAACAATCAAACAAGAGAATGTTCGTAATCACATATAGATTACTGGAGTTATCTTCCTAAACCCCTATCCAAACACAACCTTATAGATTTATATGTAATGATAGGTGAACTAAAGATTTGGTAAAGTATAAATTAGCCAACATGCTTAATTAACTTGCACTAAATATAATTTTGTTAACAGTAGATTCAAAACATATTATCCAAATATATATATATAATTTATTTTTTTGAATCAATGATTGTATTGAATGAAGTGATAAAAATGTAAGAAAAGAAAAAAAAATATTAGATATGTAACCTATAACTAATGGAACAACTATACAATGCAAGATATAATATGCGAAAAAACCTTATTTTTATAAGTAAATCAATGTTATACCTAAATTTGAATATAACATGCCATATTGATATAATAATTCAAACGGTCTCCTTTCAATGTAACAGCTAATGTCTATTGTATGCAACATGCATGTGAATTAGTGGTATCTAATTTCCAATATCTTTATTTACTAGTTGACCAACTTTTTTTTCCCCTTTTCAGAGAAGAAGAAGGCTGGCAATGCTTCACCATAGAGAATTAAATATTAAACATGATGACCCTAATCGTTGAATATTGAGATAAGTGATTAACAAAAGCCACTTGCTAATCTTATAATTTTTAATTCATCACATTTATAGTTTATAAATATATTGATTCCTTTCGATCTTCTTATTCGATTATCTGCCCTAATGAAGTTGAGTTTATTTGTGTCGGTGTCTCAGTGTCTTCTTGTTAGGTTTCTATTCGCAATGTACTGGAAATGCATACATTATCCCCGGCCATCTGGTTCCATAATATTCTTGTACAGTAGTTTTATACTAGCTTTCGTGCATTTCAATTTCATGCAGATTTAACCATCCAGTTGTGGCCGGATGGATAGAGGGACGTATGGTTGAAAGCACCACCAACCTTGAGTTCTAGTTGTATCAAAGGGTGCCCAATTATCATACCTTAAAAAAAAAAAAAAAAAAAAAAAAAAAAAAATTGTGGGTTAATAGTAAGATTAATTGACCTTCTCAGTTAAAACTGGCTTGTTTTAATCAATATGTATCAATGACGAAACCTAACTGCTCATCAATATTTTACTTGCATTGTAATTCTAGCTAGATCATCAAAAGGTCCATTCCAAAAAGGCGAAAATTAGGTATTCAAAAAATCTTTCATATCTATTATGTAAGCATCTATCTAACATTTGTATCCGATTTCAGTAAAGTCCTTGATGCATAATATTAACTAATTTATTGATTATGATTGAATGAATTAATAATTAACATGATAATTTAAACTATATAATTATTATATTATACTTAGAAAGAAAAGCTTGATCATGATCACTAATGACCTTTCATCAAATTAAAAAATATTATACATAAATGATCAATATATCCGACCAGCAAAGCTTATATACTTTAACATAAATTTTATGTCAAACCACAAAAATCACATGCAGCCATCCAGAAACACTTAATGTTATTGGGCATACATAATTAAACTAATTAAAGAGCAAACCACAAGATGATCGATCCTGAAACACATGACATTGATTACAATGCATATATCAACCATTAAACCAATTACATAATTGAGCAAGTTGAAGGATTTTCTTCACAGAAGTAATCTCCACGACTCCTGCAATTACCTCTACTCCAATCACCGCCACCGCCGCCCCAACTGTCATAAACCGGCCGTCCGTAATAACCATCATAATATATAGGTCTTCCATAACCAAGCTGTTGACATGGCCCCACTCCATGCCCCCCATTACACTCCCTGCAGCACGCCCCAAATGGGTAATTCGGGTAGCCCGGTGGGTAACCCGGTTCCGGTACAGGAGCGTTGGGAGTTGTTGCTGGTACAATAGCCTTGGGAGTTGGTGCTGGATCAGACGCCTTGGGTGGTTGTGGCTTCTGTTTCGGTGGTGGGTCGACAATAACAACTTTTGGTTTTGTTGGTTTGGGATCTTCTGGCTTCTCTGCCTCTTTCTTCTTCTCGGGCTCCTTGGGCTTTTCCTTCTCTGGTTCTTTCTTCTTCTCGGGCTCCTTGGGCTTTTCCTTCTCTGGTTCTTTCTTCTTCTCGGGCTCTTTGGGCTTTGCAGGTGGCTTGATTTCGATACTCTTGACTGCTTTACCGCCTTTGCAGCATATCTTTTGCATCAATCTATCAGGACAGCAGGTAACCACTTTTATCGTCACCGTGTTTTGCTTCTCGTCGTAAACTTGGTCTCGTATCTCTGCCAATAGCACGTCCCTAAAGTTCAGAATCAAACGCACAAGTAAACACAAAGAAAGAAACACAGGAGAGAAACTTACCTGGAAATTTACAAAGCACTTTCTTCACTTTCTTGTAACACTTTGAGCACTGGAGGTCAACTTTCAGCAGCATTATCGTAACCTGCAAAGATTGCCGATTTCGTTAATTCCTTGGTGCTCGTTCCAAATTCGAAGTACCATTTGTACAAATAAGAAATCAGTTTAATGGTGATGACAGTTTAAGAATGACAAACTATGCTTAATGAGAAATATAAGAGAGAAGAATACAAACCTCTGCCATTTCTGTGAGTGCTCAGATCTGAACCTCGGAGCACAAAGAAGAGTGATAGATTATTATTTATTATGGAGTGTGTAAAGGAAATGCCTCAGCAAATATGCTGTGAGGAGATATTCATTTATAGACAGAAGATACAAGGTAGCTGTACAAATACAAATATGGAAACAAATATACAAGGAAAATAAACCACTACAATAGTGGAGAATCACTGATATCTTAGTCATAATTGTGGAGGATCACTGATATCTTGGTCATAATTGTGGAGAATCACTGATATCTTGGTCATAATCTGAGGAATCAGATTTTCCTCTAATATCCCCCCTCAAAGTTGACGTGGTAGAAAGAGGAAAAACGCACAACTTGCCACGATCCAATAAAAACTGCAATTTGGCCACCGCTTTTGTGAAAACATTTGCCAGCTGTAGGTGTGAGGGGACAAAGCCGAGACTAATAACCTTTCAAGCAACAAGTTCCCGAACAAAATGATAGTCAATATCAATATGTTTGGAGCGAGATTTGGTGACCGCGTTGGAAGCAATGAATATGGCACTATTGTTGTCGCATAAGAGTCTCGGAGGAGAGGGGAGGGTGATCTGGAGTTCTCGAAGAAGTTGAAGTGTCCATGAGAGTTCCGCAGCAACAGAGGCAAGAGCACGGTACTCGGCCTCAGCACTAGAGCGTGCCACGGTAGTTTGCTTTTTAGAGCACCATGAAATTAAGTTGTGGCCAAGATAAACAGCAAATCCGGTTGTTGAACGCCAAGTGACGAGACAACCGGCCCAATCAGGATCAGAATAGCCGAGCAAAGTCTGAGAGGAATCCCGTGAGAGTTGCGCGCCAAGATGTTATGACGGATATTGGATATTACGGGAGGCCGGTTTACGATAGCTGGGGTGGTAGTGGCGGTGGCGGTTGTTGCAGAGTTAATAGACGTGATTACTTTTGCGAAGAGAATCCTAATGCAGCTTGCAGAATCATGTAAAAGCAAAGGCGGTGCATGCATCATTTGTCGTTGTCTTCCTGTACATATTCTATTTTGAAATCTTATCCATATGTGACACAAGACAACAAAATTTTAAAGGTGGGTATCAGGTCTTTTCATCAGTATCTACTTTGTTATAAGGGTTTCGACACATCCTACGTTGAAATATTATCCGTACTTTTATTGGTGGGTATGTATCTTTTCAATCAGTATCTACTTCGTTAGTTTCACAAAGGGTTTTTGGATTATTAAAAGGGAGAATGACATGTTCCCACCCAAGGTTTGACGAAATGACACTTTCCCACCCATCAAGTTTCAAAATGATATTTTCTCACCATTTGTCAGGTTTCGTTAGTATTTTCTGCTAATATTTGACTAAAAAGACGATAATACCCTTAAATAGTTTCTTATAAATTAAAATTTAGTTAAATCAAAGTCTTTACTCAATTATTTATTAGTTCAAGTGTAAAGATATTTTCTTTCCTTTGTTTATTTAATTAATTAGGAATATTGATTTTCTATGTTAATTAGTAAAATGAAAAACATTTATATTATGAAAAATATAAATTTCGTAAATTATTGAATAATAGTGATGGGATATTAATGACATTATAAATAAATATTAACTTTAAACAATTGCATAGTATTACTCCTAACTTTTTAGGTGGGAGCTAAAAAATTTTTAACATTTGACTTTTTGGCTAATTTAAAAATAATAAAAAAATTTATAAAGTCAAATATTTAAGGGTATTTTCGTCTTTTCAATAAAAATATTAACGGAAAATATAACAGAACCTAATGAAGGGTGGGAAACTGTCATTTTGAAACTTGAAGGGTGGGAAAGTGTCGTTTCACCAAACTTGGGTGGGAAAATGTCGTTCTCCCTTATTAAAATGTAAAAAAAAAAAAAAAAAAAAAATGAGCATAACATTTCACTTCACAAATCATTTTTCAAATTTTAATTTGCGTCCAAAGGATAGGGATTAATATAGTCGGTTCAACATATTGTTCTCCATTAATACTTTTCCATAGTGCATTTCCTTTTCCTTCTCTTTCTAAAAATTGTGATGTCTACTAGATCAAAGAGATATATCCTTTCTAGGTACTAGAAAGTATAGGTAATAAAGATGTATCGAAAACATGAATAAGGAAAAAGGATTGAACCAGACACAATTCTCCTCTCACCATGCGGAAAAGGAAGATAGGGATCGATTATTTTGATTTGGTTGATTCATAAAATTACAGAAAGTGATGTGTTTGGTCGCTATCAGGATTGATTGGTAAAGGCTCAATGCACTACCACCAGGAAATATTTATCCGAATTTAAAAGAAAATAAATAAATAAATAAATGTAACCCAATAATTTCCATACTAGCTATAAATGTTATCTTCCCTTTCTTACCTAATTGACAATTTGACATAAATGTTAAAGTAATTGTATGGAGTTGGATGGATATAGACTTGGAGAATAAATAGTGGTGGGAAGAGGCCAGAGAGAAGTGAAGTCGATTGAAATGATATTTTTATATATTTATTGACGAGATTTCAATTAGTTGACGCCATTAATAAAGTAATATTATCACTACCAGCGGCCTGACTTCAAAGTTATAAATTTTTTTTTTTTTTTTTTTTTTTTGCAGGTCCATTAAAAAGTAACATTATCACTTTCAAGTTTTCTGATTAGTGAAGTCGCTATCCGCATTTGAATATCGGTTGAATGAGGTCATAGATTACATCTTTATGCTTCAATTTTGCCAATTTTTTGTTAATTTTGCGTTATGTGTGGAATAATCAAAGGTATGAGAGCAGGATTGCGAATATATATGCATATAGGGTCAATAGGCCGACGTCATTGGAGAACGTCACCAGACAGTCGGGCTTTAATTTTGTAATTAACTCTCCTTCAAATGCAATTTGGCTTAATTAATTATTACTTAAGAGAAGCTATTCAAGTCTATATATATAACTAATAACCAGTCTTGATCCTTATGCTTTGAGGTTCAGATCCTATCAACACTCTCAAAGATGGCGGAGGTGTGCAAACTAGTCTCACCTTCCTTAACTCTCCTTTCTTGCTATTTAATATTCTTCTTAATTATTTTTAAATTTTCTGATTAATAATCGTAGGTTACGACAATGGTGATCAAAGTTGACCTGAAATGCTGCAAGTGCTACAAGAAAGTCAAGAAAATACTGTGTAAAATCCCACGTGAGTCTGTGTGTGTGTGTGTTTATATTTGTGCATGAATATGTAAGCTATTGGGTTTGATTAATTCTCTTTAACTTTGATATATAGAAATAAAAGATCAAGTTTACGATGAGAAGCAAAACACAGTTACGATAAAAGTGGCGTGTTGCTACAGCCCTGAAAAAATATTGCAAAAGATCCGCTGCAAGGGCGGTAAGTCAATCCTAAGTATAGAAATCAAACCGCCGCCTAAGAAGCAAGAAGAGCCTAAGAAGCCACAAGAGAAACCGAAGGAACCAACGAAACCACATCCGTGTGGGGGACCGTGTGAACAGTTGTTTGTGGGAGACCTCCATGTTCTGGAAGGCCAGTTTGTGATAGTTGGGTTAGTAATTGTGGTTGCAACAGGGGTTATTATTGCAGGAATCGTTGTGGTTATTAAAATTATTGTGAAGAACCTTGCTCGATTATGTAATCACATTATGCTTCATCGATGCATATGGTCATCCATCAATCTTCTAGTTTGATTTTCTTTCTTGATGGTTTGTTAATTAGGTGGAATATATAAGTTTTTTGTGGGTGTGGGCTTGTGTCTTTCTCATCTTTAATAAGTTTTTGTGGGTGTGGGTGTGAGCGTGTGTCTTTCTCTTCTTTGATAAGTTTTTGTGAGGGTGGAAATATTGTAATTCAATAGTTTCTTGTCGGCTTCCTTTTTCTCCCAGTTTCTTATCCCTTATCTTCCTATAGGAAAATTGTGTTTTTCTACACAAGGAACATGTAGGAAAATATCAGCACGATCGATGCAAGAACCAACATTGCAAACTAGTTGCATAAAGTTTGTGACTATTCGACATAAAGATACTAAAATCAAAATTTATTTTGATGCTTATAAAATATTTGTTTTGACGCACTAACTAAGCAGGTGGATATAATCATCTCATTTGGTTATATTTATATTTTAGAAAGAGTAACATTACATTTATAGTCTTCTTACAAAGAGATAATACAAAATGATGTGACATTACTCTTTAAATGACATATCAATTAATGGGTTGACTTCAATATACATATATTGTAAGGTAAATGTCATATATTTCCGCATTGTTATAACAACCGTGCTTGATCCTATATAAGCCAAAAAAAAGGTAAATATTTTGCTGGGATGATATATGTCATTGTAACACATGATCAAGATTTGTCTGACTTCTCAAACTTATATCTACACCATGTCACAATCTAATTAAACTTTAATTGAATGAAGATTTTTAGAGTAATTTGGAGAGTTCAAATGTACCTTGTCTATTCGTCAACGTCTCTCTAATCATCATCAATCACCTACAAATTTGATCTGAATATTGTATTGTTTATTAAGAAATGATATAGTGTTTTAACTTCTTCTTCTTCTTAACATGCAATTTGGCTTAATTAATTCATGTACAAAAGATTCTTAAACTCTCTCTCTTATCATTCCACTCCATAATAAATAATAATCTATCACTCTTCTTTGTGGTCCGAGGTTCAGATCTGAGCACTCACAGAAATGGCAGAGGTTTGTATTCTTCTCTCTTGTATTTCTGATTAAGCATAGTTTATCATTCTTAAACTGTCATCACCATTAAACTGTTTTCTTATTTATACAAATGGTACTTCGAATTGGGAACGAGCACCAAGGAATTAACGAAATCGGCAATCTTTGCAGGTTACGATAATGCTGCTGAAAGTTGAACTCCAGTGCTCAAAGTGTTACAAGAAAGTGAAGAAAGTGCTTGTAAATTTCCAGGTAAGTTTCTCTCCTGTGTTTCTTTCTTTGTGTTTACTTGTGCGTTTGATTCTGAGCATTAGGGACGTGCTATTGGCAGAGATACGAGACCAAGTTTACGACGAGAAGCAAAACACGGTGACGATAAAAGCGGTTACCTGCTGTCCTGATAGATTGATGCAAAGATATGCTGCAAAGGCGGTAAAGCAGTCAAGAGTATCGAAATCAAGCCACCTGCAAAGCCTAAAGAACCCGAGAAGAGGAAAAAACCAAAGAAGGAAAAGCCCAAGGAGCCCGAGAAGAAGAAAGAACCCGAAAAGGAAAAACCTAGAGAGCGCGAGAAGAAGAAAGAGGCAGAGAAGTTGTTGGATGATGGCTTGAAACGTTACCGTATTGACACTTAAGTGGAACGACGTCGTTTTGCTCCAACTGCCAGAATCAATCCTGAGCGTTGATGAAAAAGGGAGATCCAACGGATGTCATATAACCCTAATGTTCCCATATAAAAGCAGAATTTTTTTTGGCAGTTTATGCAAGGCAGATTAGGCTTTCGTTTTGACGATTACTCTCTCTTCTTCGGTAAAACACCATTGTTAAACCTTTAGGGTTTCTACAGTTTGGGTTGAGTGTTTCCTGTAACTTGAGTGTTGAGTGACTGGTTAGGTCATTTCTGGGTGTATTGTATACACTGCTCTTAGGGATTCGAAGGGTGTATCTCTAGGGTTTGGTTACGGGTTGAAGGAGGGTTTCTAGAGTGACTTGTGTTGCTTATTGTGTAATCTGTAAACTTGACAGTTTTAGTGCAGCGAGCTCGTGTGATTCTCGAGTTCAACGTGGACGTAGCTTGCTCAATCTTAGAGCAAGTGAACCACGGTAAATCTGTTTGTGCTGTGTGCTTGATTCTTGATCTTGATTTGTTGCTTGTGTTGGTTGATTCTTTCTTTAAAGGGTTATAACAGAAGTCTAAAGAGAAGCCAGAAGATCCCAAACCAACAAAACCAAAAGTCGTTATTGTCGACCCACCACCGAAACAGAAGCCACAACCACCCAAGGCGTCTGATCCAGCACAGTTCCCAAGGCTATTGTACCAGTACCAACTCCCAAGGCTCCTGTACCGGCACCGGGCTACCCGAATTACCCATTTGGGGCGTGCTGCAGGGAGTGTTATGGGGGGCATGGAAAGGGGCCATGTCAACAGCTTGGTTATGGAAGACTTATACGTTATGATGGTTATTACGGACGGCCGGTTTATGACAGTTGGGGTGGCGGTGGCGGTGTTTGGAGTAGAGGTAATTACAGGAGTCGCGGGGATTACTTCTGTGATGAAAATCCTTCAACTTGCTCAATTATGTAATTGGATTAATGGTTGATATATGCTCTTTGTCAATGTCGTGTTCGTGATCGATCATGTTGTGGTTTGCTCTCAATTAGTTTAATTATGTCGAATGCGGTCAAAACCAACTCAGAGTTAGAATGATGGTTAAGAGAAATAACGTAATATATATTACTTTTACAACTTCATAAAACTGTCTCATGATATATTTTTCTAATTGTTATGTCTAAAAAAGTAGGGCTGACATAGAGTCTTGTCAGCATAAAGTGGTCAGGACTTGGGAAAGTTCTGTGATCGCTCACGCGCACCCACGTCGTATAATGACGTAAGTAGTATGCTTTTGTCAGTGCAGTGGGTGAGCATCGGACTAGCGAATGGTTGAATATCATCCACGTGTTCAATCCCTGCATAAGTTGAGGAAATCACTCGAGCAGGTGAGCAATGGGACGCAGAAAAAGATTTGCATGGTATCCACCCCACTTGCAGAGTTAGTAATCATAACATTGGTTTATCCCACTATAAATAGAAGACTTCTCTCTCATTTGTGGGATTGGCTCTCTCTCTCTCTCTTTTGTATTCTCCAAGATGTAACTCAACTCGCTGAACGCGATCTGACTTTACTCTCATTAATATAATATCAGTGGATGTAAGATTTGCTCTTGAGCATCCAAATCACTTTAAACATTACTCTTCACCCTTTATTTAACTGAACATTTTTATATCACGTACGACTTCTAAGTCCGCTTAGCATCTCTCACGTACGATTAGTTGGTGTCAAAATCAAGCATCAACACTAATCTATCTCTCCAATTTAGAAGTTCACATACAATTCTCAAGTACATATCTATAGAATTCGATCAAACTAAGTATTCAATTGATTTTTGTTCACAACTCTAAATCAAATAAGAACTAGAAGAAGATATAAGTGCTTTAACTTTTTAAACTTTTGATTGTTGAATTCATTGAATGGATAGCAAATTCCACCTAACGACCAAGAGATAGAATTTCCATTTTCATCTCTTTGTGCCAACCAAATGCCGACACCTTCCAAACTTTTACCTAGGCATGGCAATGTTCCCCGAGATTTCGGGGACCCGTCCCGCCCCGCCCCATATGAGGCGGGGAAGCCCCGGTTTTTTTGGGGATAGGGGCGGATGTGGGGGGTGTTTTAATCCCCGTCCTCCGGGATGAGGCGGGGGTGGGTGATGCCTTTCCCCCAGCCCGCCCCGTATATAATATATAAAATTAAAAAAATGTATATATATATTTACTTTTCACTAATATCCCTATATTTCACCTAATTACACAATTATCCTTCCTATATAAACCCATATTTTTCTAATTTCCCTCACCCCAAACAATTGAACAAGAACAAACCCTGACCCATATTTATGTATAATTAATTATGTTTAAACGATTAATTTAAGTGTTTGTCATGTGGACGAGAATTAACTATTGTGTTTGGTAATGCTCAAATTAATTTATGTTTATATAAAATTAACGGGGCGGGGACGAGCCTCTAACATTCTCCTTTGGGGCGAGGAAGGGGAATTCTTGTCATCCCCGTAACGGGGATGGGGCGGGGGTGGGGAATGATTTTGAGGGTGGGGATGGGTACGGTGAATGAGATCCCCGCCCCGTCCCGCCCCATTGCCATGCCTACTTTTACCTAATTTAATCACACTCCCTAGCTAGGTTAGGACATATGAAGTTTGCTTAAGCTTTCAAAGGTTACATTCATTGGACCTTCATTTTATCAATAATTTTGATTATATTACTGATAAATTTTGCAATTAAACTAGTGAGTTAAGCTATTAATTATATAATTCATGATCCATCTAAATTCCTACACCGACACTCTGTTGCCTTGTAATTGAGTTCTTGATCCATAGCACCAGGCCTCGGGACACGTGTACAGTTGGCAATTGTGGGTACACAAGAAAAATTTCATGGTTATTATTATTATTGTTATGATTTTAGTAGTGTAATTGCAATAAGATAAACTAAGAGGGATTAAAAGGTACAAGAGCAAAATAAAGAGGGCTGAAATGAGAAGCTTTTATTAACTCTTTCTCTCAATTGAGTATACATAACATGAAGGAAATGGACTCAATTTATAGGCTTTTCTTACCAACCCACCTCCCATAAAGACCATTTATTTAATGGCAAATCATGGGCCATATGTCTTTAAGTTGGACTTGCATGATCATGTGTCTTCATGTGGACTGCATGGGTCATGTGTCTTCAAGTAGACTTGCATGGGCCATGTTTCAAATTATTGGAAGTCCACCACTTACAACACTCTCGTTTGGACATCCACCATTCATAGATAATTACATTTAACCTTACTTAGGAAAAACCCATTGTGACAAAAAATCTAAGTAAAGAACTTCAACTCTATAATGAAACTATAATGCGGCATTAGACGTGCTTCATACTGTTTGGTCTCGTACATTGTGCCAAATATAATAATGTACCTATTGCATTCAAATATTGTATTTTATGACCAAGTATTTTTTTCATCGTCTTCTTTATGATGAAATGGATCCTTCTTAAGATCAAGAGACCGAACTACCATTAGGGTATTCAAGGGGCGAGCCTTATCTATATTAAAGCACTTTAAGATCTTTTTAGTATAATTTGATTGATGGAGAAATATTTCATTTAAACAATGCTTAATATGAAAGTCGAGACAATATTTTGTTTTCACTAGATC